TCCCATTATATATCGGTAATCAGTTAGACTGACGGCCAAATAATCCTTATCAGCCTGCAGTTACCCAGCATGCTCGGTGGCTTCCAAACACTGATTTTAAGCTAACTTTAGATCACATTAAAAAAAGGTGAGGCTTAAATAAGTCTTTTACTAAAATATAGCAAATGATGCAAAACACATGAAATCTATCTCCCCTGAAAAAAGAAAAGACTCAGAGAAGATGGACGGGCATGCTGCGACACAGGGCTGGCATACCAATCATAGCAGCTGATTTGGCTTCTTCAATAGATTCGTATTTGTCAGTGAGCTGTGCCCGGGTCACTCTGTGCTCTGTCTGCTCCTGCTCCAGGCGCTGCTGGAGGGTCTTCAGCTTGTAATTCAGGTCAATCTCCAAACCGTTCATTTCCTATTGTGAGAACAAAGATGAAGACAACATCAACACTACTTCTTTAGATCAGAAATACTCGCTGCAAGTGTAATCTGTGTGTACCTTCTCAAGGTAGTTGCTCCTTTCTTGGGCATGCTTACGTTCCCCTTCCACTTTAGAAAGATTGATCTTCAAGTTTTTGTTGTCCTCTTGCAGTCCAGCCAATCTCGCTGCATATAAAAACAAAGTCAGCCCCAAATTTCATTGTAAAATCAATCTTTTTACAGCCCAAGTAATTGTTTGCTTGACTTTTATTATACATTTTAAGGCCCTTCATTCCAAACTAATCATGTCACACTGATTCTAAACTTCTGTTAATGAGAGGGAGGGGGCATAAGAAAATCTTCATATTCTTATTGTTTCCAGCCTAAATAATCATTTGCTAAATCCCTGAAGGCAGAGCATCTATTTGAATGCTATTTTGGGATAAAACAATTCAGAAGGACTCAAATTAAGCCTTTCCTTCTCTAAAGTTAAAGACTGTCATGAGTAACACCAAGTCACCTTGCAGTTCCCTCATCTCCTCTGATCCCTGACTGTAGTTCCTTCGCTCTGACTCCAGCGTGCTCTGAAGTAGCAGGAGCTCCTTCTCCAGCTGTGCCTTCTCTCCGTCTCCCGCCCGGCTCCTCTCCTGCAGCTCACGGTTCATAGTCTCCAGTTGGCTCATCGACTTTGCCATTTCTGTGTGGCTCTTCCTCAGTCTTGCTGCTGTGTCTGACTCTGCACGCAGCAAGTCGTTTGCCTCCTCCAGCTTTTAGTAACAATAAGAGAAAAAAAAAAAAAGTTTTAGTAATTGTGCTCAAGCAGTAGAGTGCGAAAAGTATCATCAGTGTTGCTTTAGCTGGTTGCTTCATTAAAGAATCAACAAGCAAAGTTAGCTGCAATCCTAAGGTATTCAGTGACTGCAATGTATTCAGAACACCTATTAAGCACTCTTAAAGTGAAAGAAAAAGGATTTGCTGCATAAAATTACAAAACCAAATCTTCCAGGTCTATCATTCATTTTTTTAAGCCACTGGTTAAAGCTCTGGGACTTTTATGTCTATGTGATATTTTTTTCCATGTGTGCTGAAAATTTATTTAAGAACTGATTAATCGTGATGAGAAAAACAAATAACAAAAAAACATTTCCTTTGACCGGAGAAACATCCTTCCAAACGTTTGCAGATTCTTCCTCCACAGTTTGTGGAGACTTTCTAACTAGCCTTCTTATGTCTGTCTTTCTTGCAATGGTTGATAAAAATAACAGACAACTAATAGTTGTTGGGTCAAATTTTTTCTGTAAGTGACACCTATGTATCCCCTTTCTTCACAATAATTTTGTGTTGGTTTGTCACATGAACATCCTGATGAGATACACTTGAAATGAACTGAAGCTGGGATGGTTATATGTTTCTGTAACTGACTGGGAGGGTTTACACCCTCAGACAGCTAGAAAAAAAAGCTCCAGTCCTTTTTGAATCAAAGGCTTGATGCAGATTGACTGAGGGCATTGTTCTCAACCAGGCAATCAGTGTGTGTGTGTGTGGGTGTGTGTGTGTGGAGCTACCTGCTTCTGCAGTTGGGCAATCTTATCATTTGAGGCCTGTGAGTTCTGGCTGATCTTCTTCATATCTTCAAGCTGCTCCTTTAAAGTTGACACTAAAAAGAAAAGAAAGCCACATTTCATGTTTAAATCCACAAAATAAAAACTCTAAAATAGCCTTAAAGCTTCTTTGTTATAAAAAATATGTCCCAGAAATCTCATAGCTAAATGCTTCGATGTAAATAACTAGAAAAGTGATAAAGATACAAAAATGCACCAAGATGTTCTTCTATTTCAAAGATCCCAGAGGATTACACAAACATCCTACTTGTAAATTCAGCAGTACTTCATTAGTTTTACCTTCATTCTCTAAATTGCGCCTCTTCTCTCCCTCCTGGTCAACTTTTCTTTGATACTCTGTGACTCTGTGCTGCAGCATAATCTTGTCTTTTTCCAGCAGAGACATGCTGGCTTCTACACTCTTCCTCAGGTTCGCCTGTGGCAAGGAAAAACAGAGGGCCGCTGTGATGCAGAGGAAACCAAATCCTTACTTAACCAAAGCCAAAGATGATAAACAGGCATTTAGTTAGCGTCACTTCCTCAGAAGTAATGATGTTTTGTCAAACCTAAAAGCTAATGAAGAACTATGACATTTAGTCAACACGGCACTGAAAACAGTTCATGCTTACTTAGCTTACTTGAAATTTCTATAAAGAACAGTTACCTCCTCATCCAAGTCCTTCATAATCTTCTCCATCTTTGTGTTTGACGTCCTAGGGGGAACAGAAACATATCATATAAAGTAGTTTGAAAATCTTACCCACGGTCACTGCTGTATGTAATGTTTCCTGTTTATAATCAGAGTCACATTCCACCAGAGTGTAAGGGATCCATCTACACCGAGGGAATAACTTATCCCTGTGCATTCTTCCTTCAGATATCCCAACTTAACCAGAAACATTTGCTTGTGGGATTCTTTTAAACAGCTAAGCTCAGCAGGGATGAAGTCACAACACTTCATATGTTTTTACTTGAACCATTTCAGTAAATGCATATTGTGAAAGAGTAATGACTTGGTCCATACCTGCATTTCTGTTCCAGCTCATCTTTTTGTTGCATTTCAATGTGGAGTTGCTCCTGTAGTTGGTAGATCTGTTTTTGCAGGTTCTCCAACTATTAACAAGAATACCAGTTTTATTGCAGGATAAAAAATTGGTAAACATTTTATATCTTGTGTTCTTAGCTTCCATGTGTGATGCACTCACGTGACTCTTGTCCTCTTTCGTTGAACTGCTACGTTTGTCACTCGTCTTTGAGGCAGCAGGACCACGCAAATGACTGGGGGGGTCAAAAACGGTCTATGAATCTCTTCCAATTTCAGTTTAGGTAAACATTTTTAAAAGGCAACTGTAACCATATTTTATTTAAGAAATAATCAAAACATGTAAATGGTGAAAAAAAACAAAATGTGACACAGGACTTTGTATTTAAATTATATATACCTATTTATTAGACAACAAATGCTTTCTAAAATTCAGGACTTAATTCTACCAATCATTGTATTTTTTGATGTCCTTTCTTCTTGTAATCATTAAGGTGGCTGAGTTATCTACCAAATACCGCAGGTTTATTGAGGCTAACAGTACAGCTGCTGCCTCATGGTGCTGAGCATTAAACCTCTGTCTACCAATGAAATGTTGGAAATGTTGAAAGCCTTTTGGGAGTTAAAGGGTTAATTCAAAATTTTCTGAAGTGAGGTTCTGTAAAGGTATTATCCAACTCTAGTAGAATTTTCCTTATTGGATAATAAACAAATCCTCTGTGTTGTTATGGTCAAACAAACCAGTCCGATGTATACCAGGGAGCTTTTGTTGAATTTAGCTGTTTAAAATGGATATCTTATTTCATTCTGCAGGCTGAATCAATATATTACATTCTCCATTAAGACCCCAGATCTTTTAGAATTCGTGTAAAGCTTTCATGTATGGGGGGTTTGCAGATGTCCTGGTTTGTTGAAATCGCCCCTGACTGAATCAAAATCAGCTGAGGTGATATGTAAACACCATGCTTCATTAGCATGTTAGCTTCTCGCCTATCCAAAGAAAAATGAAAAATTTATCCAACAGATTTCAGAGTGATAAGGTTCTAAAGATGGGTTAAAATTTCAACAATGTAATTCTTTCGTCTTTATATAATAGTAAAGTTTAGCTTAAGCACTGGTTGAAATGATGGTTTTAAGATGGCCTGACAGACTTACTGCTGAGTGCTGTAATATGTAAAGCCGACAAAAGGGAGCTGATTGCCCACAAAGGCCTTCGGTATGGGGAAGGTCTCCTCCTCTCCTCGGTCCTCCTCGATATCATCAAAGTTACTGGTGTCAGTGTCACTGCTCAGTTCAGGCACCACAGGGGCAGCGGCTACAAAACACAGAGCAGAATTAAAAACAGTTGCACATAAATTAAATATAGGGCAAAAGACTTAGGTCAAAGCTTGCTATTATTATTTAAAAGCAACAGAAATTGTCATCTTGGAATTCTTGGTAATATGTTGTTTGAACATTAGTTATTTGCACATCGTTATTAAAATCAAAATCAAGATTTTTTTTTCAATAAGCTTCAGTGTCATTGCACAAACTAATACATTAGCTATATTTCAAAGGCAACTTCAAACCAAGTGAAAACAGTTAACTGGCAGAATCAACAGAGGCAGCAAAAACCTAAGTCCTGACTTCAGCCCTGCAATGCAGCAAACATAAAGCCACCACAGACCTGCCAGAAGCTACTGGATTAAACCCTACATTTCTAATCGCTCAGAACTGCAGCGTCACTCCCAACACATTTACATTGGAGTTGGACTGCTTCCCCATCTTGGCCTCAAAGAGGCTGAGCTTGCCAATTATTCTCTGAGCAGGAATCACGTTTAGTCTTGGAAAGGATACTGAATGAATGGCTTGTCTGCAAGAATTTCCTGCAACTGTCTGCACTAGGTCAAATGGGAAAAAAATGATCACGGGTTGATGATTGAAATAACAGTACTGCTGCTGCCAAATTAAGTAGGATTTTGTAAAATGATGATAAAAAGGAAAGAAACATGAAATATATTTACTCTCTCTGATGTTTTCCCATGTCCACTGGTCATTTTTGAAGAAAGGATGCCTCTTAATCTCATCGACTCCATTCCGGCCGAGCCGAACTTCCCTGCAGGGGAGAAGTGTTTAGAATTTGATGGAATAAGGACTCCATGACAGTGGAAGGCAATTCACGTTGAAAATGTATGCTTCTATCCAAATTCTATCCACGTAGGGTCTAATGAGTGGATTTCTAAACAAAGATTTCTGTTTTTATCCAACCTGTCAGTCAAGAAAGCGCAGATGAGATTCTTGGCATCGTTGGAAATGTCACTGTCATCTGGGAAGGTCAGGGCATTCTTGTGGTTCATGATTTTACTATAAGTCCCCACCAATGAGTCTGCATAGAAGGGAGTATCGCCTGTGCAGAAGACCAACAACAGTTATTAGAAAAGGGCCTATTCTGTGGCCAGTCACAGCTTTATTCTTAAAATATTGGGGGGGAGATAAAACTCACCAACAAGCATCTCATAAAGAAACACCCCCACTGACCACCAGTCACACTCTCTTCCATAGTTCCCGTTTCCTCCTTGGGATTTCAGTACCTCTGGTGAAATGTAGTCTGGAGTTCCAACTGCTGTGTCACACTGTACCATTCCATCCTGACAAGGTAGACATTTCAAACTTATTTATTTATATTATTGAAAAAGTAAGAATATCTAAGACTTTCTTCTTTTTCAACCAGATTCTTGCTTTTCATAAAGAGACTGTAAGTGGTACCTCATTCATTTTCATGCACGTTCCAAAGTCTGCAAGTTTTAAGTGACCCGATTTGTCGAGCAACATGTTATCAGGCTTTACATCTCTGTTGAAACAAAAACATATAAACAGTCAGCAAAAACAGCACATTCAGGTTAAACCTATGTTAGCTACAAAGATATAAACAAAGATAACTTGCACCGCTCAATGGACGGCTAAAAGTGCCCCAACCAAATAAATATGAGAATCCTCACTTAACACACTTTACACAAGGTCTCAATTATTACAACATCTTTTATAAATGTATAAGCCGTGAATTTATTTATTCACCTCCAAAATTGGTCCATTAAAGAGCTACTGACTTGACAAGAGCAGTGCTGCCCCTGCTGACCAACTTAGATCAATATTCGTGATTAAACAATGGAAATGTATGACATCTTGCATGGATCCATGAAATAAGTAATTCAACTGAGTCAAATACCAATGTATGCATTTTGTTTTTTGTCTTTTTAAGTCTCCTTTCATATGTACAACTGATTGCATCAGGCTCTTACTTTCCAGCGTCACATTGTACCAATTCAGAATTTGTAGTGCCCCAATTGAAGTATTTGGAAGCAAAATTCAAGTGTTTATATCAGGGATAGGAAATTTGCTCCACTATGCAACCTGGCCAAATGGCTAAACACTATTTAGCTGATAACTACAGTTTATCAAGTGCTTATATTTACAAGCAGAATCGCATAAGTTGTAATCTTGTCACCATAAAATAGTGTAAATAATACCAGACGGTACGCTGGACTGATTCATGTTTGTGCTACAGATTGCAGTTGCTCCAGCATTACTTCTCCTACAAATACTAGTGATTGCCCTCTACTGGATGGCAGCAACACTACAATACAAAAAAATCCCTAATGTACGTCATCAGTTAATCAGGCAGAACAAATTCTAATCTAATAAACCATTAATCGACAATCAATTGTAAGTCAGTTATTTGTTTTTATATTGCCTGCTTCCTTTTTTTCATGAAAACTATTGATATATGACATCTTTTACTTTTGAAAAATGCTCCCATTTCCAGCATGCCCTCAGGGAGGTGTTCTGAAGTCAAAGTGCAACTAAATACGAGCTGTGAAACCTGCTTGTAAAACAAATTGGCAGGCTCTGCCATTGTAAACAATGAAAAACATAACAGAAAAATGTTTGCAGCTAGTCGATGTTACACAATAAACCAGCTTATCAGTTCTGAGTATACATCTAAGAACAAACAGCGACAGGGTGACTAAACTCTTGAAACCCAAATATGCATTAGTAAAACATAAAATAAGTTCTAAGTCTTCTAAAATTAAATCTTTATAAATAGTAAATACAAATGAATTGATATATCACTTTATTGGCCAGTCTTAGTTTAGAAGGAAGAAACTTGTCTTAGACTCAGACCAGCTAGATGACCTGATCAACAAGGTCACGATAATAGCAAAAGCTTCACAACAGCAAGAGATTGTGTGTTTATTATAAATCTTAAATCATAAAAATGTAAAAGAAAAAAAAAACTGCTTATTTCAACTTACTGCTTGTGAGAGATGCTGAGTAGTGTTTGATATTCCTATTGTGTTATATAACTTACACCTGATCCTCCACAATTTTGCTTCAATATATTTAGTAGAAATTGTAAATACGCGCATCCTGTATCTGCAGACGGGTGAGGGGATGCTAGGGGGTGTCTATCACCTGGGTTTGGGTGGCTAGCATGCTGTACTTGGCCTAGAGGGGTGGACTGTCTGGGCTTGATTGGCTGGTAGCAATGGATGAGAGAGGACCATACAGATGTGGAGGCCTGGAATGGCTGTGACTGGTGGCTCATGACAGGGTGGGCTCTTCAGCTGGCTGGATACCTGCTCTGGCATCTTTGGGGATGGGTGTGTGGCTTATGGGGGAATGCCGGGGAGGGGCTGAGGCTGGAGCCATTGGTAAGGGGTGTCCCTCCTGGGGTAGGGTTTGGGCTGGTGTCTGAGTCTAGACCTGGGCTACACTGCAGCTCTCCTCCCTTTGGTGGTATCCCATACCAGCCCTTTTTTTTTTTGCCCTTTAGACCTCCGGCTACCTGAACCTTTCCTACTGTGAGGGGTTTGAGGATCTCCTCCTGTGTCTGTGCGCCTGTTCCTCCTAGGATGATTGGCACCTAGACCTGGGAGGACAGCGTATGTATGAGGAGTGTAAGTGTGTACAGCTTTCTTGAGTGCTTATATATATCTGTATGGGTGCAAGGGTGGGATTGAGTGAATGTGACTCACTGCCCCAGGCCCATGGGACCTCAGCACTATTGCCTACAGAGGCAGGCCACTCAGGAGTCAGGCTCCAGCTGCTTTCATCTGCCCTTCTCTGGTGGGGGCGGCTATTAATATATCCGCCCTCCTTTAGTTAGAGTGATATGGGGTGCCTCTGGATCGTTTAATAGGCTTGAGTCGCCTATTAAACGATCCTGGGCCCTGTAGGGTGAGTCTGGGGCCGCCTACACCTGCTATTGAGCATATTTTCCTTCAAAATGAGCTTTGTTAATCCTTTATAAAGGAGCAAGCTCATGCATACATCAGGAGTTTGGATGTAGGCGTTCATGAATACACACTAATAGTAAATACCAAACTACAGCGACAGATAAATACCACCCTGAATAATATTTAGGAATCACTCTAAGTTCTGCCTCACACCCACATGGATATCTAAGGGATACACACTAATTTTGAAGCTTTTGTTAAGTTTACTTTGGTTCTCTGTTGTCTTCTTTTGGCTGTTTTCGCTGTTTTCTGTCCCTCTCATTTCATAAAGGTGTGGAAGCAGACTACTAGCAGTTATTGTACATCTTTGTGTTTTCTATTTTTGCTGGGTTTTTTTCTCTCTTTTCATGTGCTATTTTCCTTTCTCTGTCTCTTTCTCTCTCTCCTCTAAGTCTCTATCAGTCTCCATGTCCGTCGTAGGTCCCTAAATAATTTTCAAGTTTCATATACAAGTACCAAACAAAACCTTGTGGCAACAGCCATTATGGTCTGCTTGTGAGAGCAAATCTGTTGGGTTATCATCTAGCTCTGAGACATCTATTCCCAGAGTTACATTAGCAAAAGAGGATAACAACAAAAAAGTATATAACTTAAAATACTAAAGAGAAGAAAGTGTAGATCAAAGTTTTCACCCAAAATTATTCACTCTTTACAATAGCAGCTAAGATATGTTTACTATTCTTAAAAGATCATAGAAGGCTTTTGATTTTAGTAAGTATATGAGTTTAATTGTTGATTTTGTTCATATTTATTAGATTGGTCATCTAATATCTTAATAGTCACATAAACAAATAGAAGATAGGGACAAAAAGGCATATGGTTCCAATCACCTGTGAATGAAACCCATGGAGTGGATTCCATCCAGAGCAAGCACCACCTCTGCTGTGTAAAAGCGGGCCCACTTCTCTGGGACGTCATAGTTGCTCATCAAGTTAACCAGATCCCCACCAGGCATGTATTCCATCACCATGTAGAGGTAGCGGTCATCTTGGAATGCAAAAAAGAGCTGTGAAAAATAAAGCACATCCAATTTATTACAGAGAAATTATCAAGATAGAAATCAAAATCTTCTCATATTTTTTAAATTTACATTTAGACAGCAAATAAAGATCCTACCTGCACAACCCACGGACTGTTGGCAAAAGCCATTATGTCCCTCTCTTCCCAGAAGAAAGCGGAATCTGACCTTTTGATCATCTCAAACTTGCTCAGCAGCTTCATGGCATATACTTTATGTGTGGATTTGTGTCTTACCTGATAAAGGATAAAAAAAGAATAGTTGTCAGTTCATAATCATCCATACCATTATGTATAAGATAATAAAACTGTAAATTCTCACCAACTGAACCTCTCCAAATGCACCTCTTCCAATAACTTTAACCACCTCATAGTCTTCTGCTTTCATTCGCAAATCCCTTATTTTACTAATAGTTTTTTTATCTGGTAGGGGAAAGAAACAAAGAATATTTTAACAGAAAGCCATTTTAAGATTTTTTTAAGAAAGAAAGAACATATTAAAACTTCATCAGTTAAAAATTTGATTATACTTTTTAACATGCTTTTTGGGTTGCAGAGCCCCGCTGATTGGGCTAGTGTGGCGTCAATGGCTAATTAGGCTAACCAGGCTGTAGAAGCAGGGGCAATCCCAAAACAGCACAGTCAAGCCTGGCCAGGGGCTCGAGGATTACCCAGTGCCTGATAGCTGCTTGTAATGACCAAAAGGGATATAAAGCGTTCATAAGTTGTGTGTTAAGAACTGCCAGAATATTCAAGAAAAAACATTTCTGTTTTTGCTGTAGATATATTTATTTATGCAGTTATTAAGCAACTCTTGTCAGAAGAAGGTTGATTTAAAAATACATTATTTGACATTTATGTATTTAAAAATATATAAATGTCAAATAATGCAACTTTGTACTTGCCAAGTTAGGGTTACCAGATTAGTTTCTGAAAAGGAAGATTGACTGGACCGGACCGGGAATTCGAACCGAGCCATCAGCTCCGGGGCTGTTCCTGGTCTTGAGCCAGCCAGGGACGGAGCGCCCGAACCTGACGGTATGCTCCCCCCCCCGCACGGTAAGGCAAAAATATACAAAGGCTTGACAAATATCAAATTTTTTTTGTATAAAAAAATCTTTAAAAATGAACAAAGGCTTACATTGGAATAAAAATGAGTGTGCCTCATCAGGCTAATGTAGTACCATAAAACTATTTCACAAAGAATAGATTTGGAGTCAGTGGGTCACATGAGCTGGAAGCTATTGCAGAAATATCTAATTCTTTCAGTATAAAAAATCTTTAAAATTGAAAAAGCTTAAATTGGAATAAAAATGAGTGTGCCTCATCAGGCTAATGTAGTAAAACAATTTCACAAAGAATTTGAGTCAGTAGGTCACATGACCTGGAAGCTATTGAAGAAAAGTCAACTTTTGTCTTTAAAAAAATCTTAAAAATTAAAAAGAGCTTAAAATTGCATAAAAGCACATGTGCCTTAGGTGTTATCTATTGGCATGATATTTTATTATTAGCTGGTCATAAGATAAGGAATTTATTGATTTATGTTTCTCAAGACAGCTTGGTTTAAAGATTTGCTGACGGTCCCTAACTGCACCACCGCGTGTGGGAGAAGGGAACCGCTGAGAGACGTTGGTCGACATCGGGGTACCTCAGTCGGATCAACCGTTTGCTAGATCCCGCTGACTCAGCGGAGCTAGAATATCCAATATCCAACTTCAAACCAACTTCACCGCGGTGCTGATGGCTCAGTTCTGCTGCACTTTAGTTGACCAAAATCCCGGATGATTTAGAAAGTCGCCCTGGACATTTTTTTAGGTATGAAAAGTAGGACATGTCTGGGAAAAAGAGGTCGTCTGGTCACCCTATGCTAAGTGCTGTGAAGAAAGGGAAAATACGCTGTGTGTTCTCATTACTGCCACCTGCTGGACTGATGGTATATTAAAGGGGCTCTGTATTGTACTAAAATTTCATGAATTTCTATACTAATGCTATGCCTCTGAATGACTGTTTCATCTCTGGGCTTCCAGAGTAATGGGAAAGCATGCTGACAAATTATCCAGTAAAGTATATGAGCCATCGATTTTTCCTGTAAAATATAAGATTTGAATAATTCTGTCATGGAGAGTAAGCAGAATTGTTGCCTAACTAACCAGAAAAGAAAGAAAAAAGGACAGAGTGTTTAGGGAAAGTTTGTTGCTGATTGAGAGTTGGCTTCTACCCAATGTAATATCTCTGAGCTCCCTTAGGAGAGATCGTATCCATCATTAGGCCAAATTTGGTCAAAGCTATGGTAGGGGGATCATTTTTAATTCACAAAGGTCACTAATGACACGAGTTTGCATGGAAACACAACTTTTAAAGACATCAGAGTTTAAAAGATCCAAAAATAAAATAGCATGCCAATGGCCACATTTTAAATATATATAAGATATAGAATTTTATACTTTTTGTTTATCTAATGCACATTTGTGTAAATTGTGTGTTTTGTAGGATTATTTCTCCCAGCGTTTTTCTCTGCATAAATACACTACTACACTAAAACTACTGTGGAGGGCAACGCAGAGAAAGAATTTGAAGCCCAGAGCGCTTCAGGCAAGTTGAACTGCTAAGGTCCAGCAGCTAATCCATTAGTCCAAATCCATCAATGTTTCACACAAAGAGACAGGATAAGGAATAATCGAGTAGATTTGAAGTGGCAGTTCTTTTTTTTTTTCCTTCCTTGGTCAATTACTTTTCCGCTTTTGTGAAGCTAAGAAAATTTTAAAATAAAAAGCTTCCACACAAACCAGGAGCAACATACCCAGGCAGAAAAACGGATGAGAGGCAGTATTTGTTGTTTTCATTAAATTATAGGTTAACTGGATGTTATTCAGGAAATTAAAGACATACATGGCCAAGTTACAACATCAGAGCCCTGCCCCCCCACCCCAGAATAGCTGGCTTTGTAAAACTAGTTCAGGGATACTGTGTAAAATGATAGATGGCCTTTCCAAGAAAATCTGTTCACTTTAGAGGAAAACAATATTTACATTACATGTAAATTTCAACTGGAGGAGGAATTTAAGATTTCAGGGCAGTTGGGAAAAAGAAGCCAATCTTGATATGCACCATGTGGGTCACTGGTCATTTATGAAAGCCCCTTTGTTAGGGACACTAAGCAGCAGCCACCTATTGTGTCCAAGCATACATACTGACAGTGACCCAAAAACGGCCTTCTCTTCTGGGCCTAGATGAACCCTGAATGTAACAGGGGTCTGTGAGTACAAACGGGAGACCCTGTTTAAAAAGAATACATGAGAGCCGAAGCGATGATCCAAGATACTTACATCTATTCAAGAAGTTGTCAATGCTCTTGTTTTTCCTAAGGGCAGGGAAGTCGAGGTCGTATACCAGAGCATCCAAGCCATCCTGAGGGAAGAGGAACAAGGTTTAGATGGAAAAAAACAAAAAACACACACTACAGATGAAATAAGGAGAGCAGAGACTTGATTTGATGCAGACAGACTTGTTTTCTCCAGAGGATGAAACACAATAAAAGAAACACAAAGGAGTTTCTTTTCACTGCAATGGGTAAATCTATATTGATACGGGATCTATATTGATATTTTTCTTAGAAAAAAAGGCTGCAGCATTGATTGTGCAATAACCCCACTTCATAAAAGAACTGGTAAAAATGTACTTCACTGCCACACACAAAGTGATTAATGTAAATACAGTTTCGTTGGACTTTCTAAACCATCATATTTTTTTCCATGTCACACTGACTGCACTGCCTATACAGACTCCTACTAAGCGGGGAGAGCCTCAGCTGATGAGTCTGTCAAGCACCTCTTAAACCCAAACAGCTGGAGAATTTTAATAGGCTTATATTAAAAATATGTGAACTAAGTTTTAAGAAAAGTAAAACGCAGCAATAAAGGCTGTGGGATGGTTTATATGGATACAGAGTGAAGCAATGAGAGGTGATTGTCAGAGAGGGATCTGTGATGTTTGTCCAAGTTTTTGTTTTGTTTTTTTTCCCCTGGAGAATGATTAGCTGCACTTTCTACTGTCCCTTGTTTTTGCGCGGCTCAAAGAGGATTGCTACTTTTCTCAGTTTTCTGTTCTCCTCAACTCCTATTATAGGTAAAGTATTCTGTTTTAAAAATGTTAAAATATGTTTGACTGTTTATGCAAAGTCTTTTCCACAATATATTCAACTCCAAACCTGTTTTCTCATGCGATTGACAGATTCCATTTTGTATTCTCCTTGAGGGTCTTTCATTACATACACATAATTGCATGGCATACATGATTCCTTAAATACCTAAAATAACATGCTATCCTTTATTATCTCAATCTGAGCTACGCAAGCCCCTTTGCAGAAAAAACGCGTTGGGTGCGTTTCACCCCCACTGACTCTCAATGAGCGTCTGACTTTAAGTGAAGTCATAATTGAAGGACTTTGTTCAACACAGTCATGAATGTGTTCTGAGGGCAGTATCCATAGGCTTTAAAATTATGATTCATCCTAAATTTACAACCTTGTATAAGCTGAGCTAATGTTAGCTTCACTGTTTATACTGAGCAAACTGAGCCTTGAAGAAATCAAGGTGAACTTTCTCCAATGACAGAAGCAGCAAAAGGATGCCTGTAGTGCATGTTACACAAAGCTCAGGGCACCCAGACAGAAAAAAAAGATAATTATAAGGACAATTTGTTAAGCAAATATGGCTGAGCAAGAATTACTTGTTTATAGAAATATTAAATTCTGAGAAAAAAAAACTGTTCACTTTATTTTCTATTCATTATCATTTCTAATCCAAAAAAATGTAGTTATGTCTGTCTGGCTAAATGTTCTAATTAGTAAAGCCAAGCTTGCACCATAAATAAATTTCCTCCTCTCCTTAAAAAGCAAATTTGGGGTGAAGGAAAAGTTTCTGACAACATGGATGAGTCACTCAGTTGCTCCAAAGCTTTTAAGCTTCAGACTAAGAGAATAGCAACAACAGAGGCCTGTGACCCTCCCTATTGAGTACACACACGTTAAGAGCAAGTCAATGAATGGATGTAAGCAGAAAGACAGCATAGGCAACCGTTTCTTCCTACCGGTAGTTCTATTTTAGCGATATTTCTGAAGATCTGAATGGCCTATTTTTAATTCCTAACCCCAACCTGGCGAAACCCTGATAGGGACCCATTAATGAAACACTCACTGTATATTGCAGTAAGATAAATATGAATTTAAATTAATTTGAAAAATAATTTTGCTGCAACTCATAAATGCAGATTCCTTCAACAAGTTGTAGATGCTGATGGCTGTGAGCAAGAAGATTCTTCTGTAGCTGTCTGTCTTACAGCGGTTCTGAAGAAGCCTCTGACTGAAGACACATATTCACGTGTTTAATATCTTAGAAAAAAAAAGATTAACCGATATCTCTAAGCTATGGAAGGAGACTAAGTAGATTGATGAAAAATATGCAAAAATTAAATTTTCATTTACAAAGAATTTCTAATTAAAACCAATCGACCAGCCCTATGAGGTCTCCACTGTAGTTCATCCAATGCTGTTCTATGGGTTTTTTTTTTTATGGATTTGCGGTTGTGTGTCAACCCCAGATACCCATAAAAATAAAAAAAAATATCGATTTTTTTTCCATTTTAGTCACACCATCACGGTGGTTAAATTTGCAAACAAACTGGTTACATTGCAAAGGCCTGTGTCTTGTTCCCAGTTAAATTTAAAAAAGCAACGTGAAGTTTGGATTAGGGCTGCAATCAACAATTATTTAGCAAAACTACAAATTTGTTTATTTTTTTCGATTAATCTATTGATAATCAGATAGCCAAAGGTCCCTTAAAAAAGACTTAACAAAAATAAACCGGTTGAAACTAAAATATTTCCAATGTAGGCATTCTGAATAGTGCATATTATCAAAGGAACACTTTTTTTTAATCTTAAATGGAAAATGTTTATATATATATATTAGGGATGGAACCGTTTTTGAAAACCGTCCAAACCGTTCGGTTCGACTGTCTCGGTTCGGTTCGCGTGTGTTGCGTTCGGTTCATGCGCAGCTCCTTTTTCTCATAGGCGAAGCGTTTACACTCCAGAGCAGAAGGTGGCGGTACTGCGACCAAAGCCAACCACCAGTAGTAAACAAGAAGAAGAAG